ATTTGCAATCTTATGGCACTGTATTTATCTTGCGTGAAATAATCCTCATTGCCTACGCCATCCACCAAAAGTTTCTCGTTGTTGGCGTCCAATTCCTTTTGGAGCTTTTCTACTGCTTTTACCACCTCCTCGGCCTTCGACCTAGTTGTTATTTTTCCTGCTACATTATTGTATATCTGCAGTACTTTTTCACTAATGTCCATCTTCGATTCAAGAATTTTTCCTCTGTTTATTCCCATGTTGCTTTTCTTTTATTTTTAATTTTTACTATTCAGNCATCCACCAAAAGTTTCTCGTTGTTGGCGTCCAATTCCTTTTGGAGCTTTTCTACTGCTTTTACCACCTCCTCGGCCTTCGACCTAGTTACTATTTTTCCTGCTACATTATTGTATATCTGCAGTACTTTGTCACTAATGTCCATCTGGGATTCAAGAATTTTTCCTCTGTTTATTCCCATGTTGCTTTTTTTTAATTTTTACTATTCAAAAATAAACACTGAGCACTAGACACTTCACTTTTTTATTTTTAGATTTGTTATTCTCCAAAGGAATCGTTGGAGGAAATTGGTTTGGTCGCCTGGTTGACCTTGCTGTGCCTCGACTCACAGCTGATGGAATTCCTTTGGATTACAAATTTATTTAATTGCGTATAATTTTCTTTATTATACGGCTGATTTCCACCTTTTAATAGACGCTTGAGCTCAATTTGGAGGCTCGATTGGATCAAATGTTAAAACCTCAAAGTAGTATCTTTAAGGGAGATTTATTTTATTCTAATTCTTATTGAATATTTTCCTTCTTTATATACTGCTCTTACTAACTAATTACATTTGTTTGTGTGAAGGCCTGATTTGACACTCAAGTACATAGTTTATGACTATGTGTGATAACAGAATTTTAATAGTTTTCTTTTTCAAGTGCATACACTTATAATTACTTATATGATATAATATGTATGTATGTATGTTTGTTTACAGTTTTAATGTTTGATTGCATGTATGTATATAATAAATGTATATGCACTTGACTGTATTTTTATGTGTTTAAATTTTGTGCGATTTTTCCTATGAATTTTATTATCGGCTAGATATAATTAAATAGAAAATGTGTTCAAAGATATTTGAACAAGCGTTGTATATTAAAACGTTTTTTTTATATTATTTATTTCTTTTTTTTTAGTATTTATATTTTTATACCCGAGCGCACTTGTGCACAAGGGTCGTCGGAATATTTTTTTTTGTACATATGTATGTTACCGCATAACTGATTTCGATAATTATTTTTTAAAGGAAAGGTGGTACCTCAGAAGTGGTCCCATCCTAATGTGGTTTAAACCCGATTATTGGATCATGAATAAATTAATGGTAATCTCAAACTTTTACATGAGAATTGAAGTCGGTTTGGTTTTTTGTTAAAAAATTACTTGTTTATTTAAACAATAGTCTTCGAGTGTCTTCTGCAAATCGATGAATTGTTGTAGTGATGATTTCATTTTTGTTTTTTCTACAAAACATCTGCGAATGATAAGCATTCCTTAACCTAAATTCAAGCACAAAGTTTTACTTTATTGCATACATTTTTTAAATTAGAAATTGATTATGAATTCATAGAAAGAAACTTACAATGAAACTTTGGAATTTAGAGGGGCTTACGCCCCCCTTAGCCCGTACCTGCGTTCGCCCATGTCCACGAGTACTCCCAAATGCTTTGTGTGGTCTTTAATATACAGCTGGGACCTTATATCTTTTTGTAAAAAAACTTTGTTGTGCTGGTGAAGCATGCAAATATATTGGAAGAGTAGCCTGTACAAAATGTGATGTGGGTTTATGTTTGAAATGTTTTGCTACTTTTCATACTTCTTCATCCGCTTTATACGTAGAATATGGATATATTATCAATAAATGTATCAAAACTTATAAAAAATATTTCTATTATTTCATATTTTAACCAAATACTGTCCTCTAACAATCCATCTGGAATACGCCCCGTGTTGCCATATGGCAACGGCCGATATCGGAAAAACTATACTATCCCCAAAGTTTTAGTCATATTTTTTCCTTTACTTTAACGCTACTTTTACCCTGTATATAGATGAAACCAAAAATCTAAAAAAAAAAAAATCTGGGATAATTTGGGTTAAATAGCACTGGAACAGCTGCGCTTGATTGTAGTTGGCTTAACAAATGAAATAGTGGAAAAAGCAACAAGAATTCACTAGGCAAATCGCTGAGTCAGTAGGATCGTCGGTTGGAAACCCACACTGAGGGAAAAAAATATTAAAATCAAATAGAAACGTAATTGATCTTACTATAAACGTCAACGAAAGTACTGTATATTGGTAAACATTCAATTCAATTACGCGCATATTAAAATGACCACGTTCGTACTGAAAAAGCATCCGTGAAGTGAATAATCAAGACAAAAACTAAAAAAAAAATTTATTTGCATGTTGCCTGCAGTGGATTCGAACCCTGACCATCTCCGGATATAACAACTTGTGGCAAGCATCTTTGCGCACTCAGCTACACCCAGGCATACAAATCCGCTTTCAAATGTTGAATATCCATCAACACCTCAGCACGGATCATGATTCAATAGTACAAGGTTGGATAACCTGGCAGTTGTCTCGCTCCCGCATTCTGTCTTAGCCTGTGTTGCCTTCTTTTTCGATTTGTAGAAACTACTACTAAAATCAAGGAGAAATATTGTCTTCGTATAAAAAGTTCAACAGGCAACACTGCCGATATTTTCATCGATTGTTTCGTGGAAATTTATTTTCTTATTAGGCAAATTCAAGTAAGTATGGCAAAAAAATCAAAAATAGTGGAAATATTTTGAATTACAATAATAATTTACATATTTGCTTGCAGGGTATCGGAGTTATTTATAATTTGTATTCAAAAAGTAGCGTTTTACAACAAGTGCAGCCGTTGCAAGTATGTTTTGCATGCTAGGATCCCTGTGTGTCCGTCCACGTATGGCTGGTGCAGAAAATACAAATATTAATAAATATATTCTCTTGTGCAGGTCAGGTTCACTTGGGTGTCCGTCCACGTTTGCTGGTGCATGTATTTTTACCACTGCAGCGTTTGGGTTGGTCAAGTGCAGCCTTTGCATATTTACAAGTAAGTATACCACTACATAAAAGCGAAAGTGGAAATATTAATAAAGATATTTTCTTGTGCTCATTGGGACTGATTGCAGAAAAAAGTACACAACATTACAAAAAATTAACATTTTTAAAAAACGAAATGTAATTAAATTGCAATATTGAAGACATAGTTTTAAAGTTTAACCGATATAATGATTAACAAGACTGATTGGAGAAAAAAGTAAAAAACATTCATTATTGAATCATGAGCACGGGTAAACATGTATCTACTTTGTATGTATGTGTGTGTTGTCACCATGGTGCACTCTCCACTCTCA